TCTCTTTTCAGAAAACAAGAAATCAAAAACAGAATATTGGTTCTACTTGATGAGACAGTCGCCTAAAAAATTTTGTGTGCACCTCGGCCGTATGATCTTTTTTGGCCTAACCAGAAGTTGCTTGGTCTCGGCTACGCATGAAATTTCTGATTCTGCCAAAGAAGATCAACTTTACTGCCTTAGTACACAAATAACTATTTTTATAGTGTTTTTATAGTGTTTTTTTTTTTTTTTTTTTTTTTTTTTTTTGTGTCATCGGCTTCAACTGCTAAGGTTATTTCGCCTCGTGTTCTGTGTAGGCTTTGTTACTGTTTCCCAGCGCCACTTTAGGAACAGCACTGTTAATTAGAACCCAACAGTGAATGGTCGAGTGGGGAATCCTACCAAGGCATCAGAATTAATTTTAAATAATTAAATTAAATGAAAAAATCCCGGCCAACGGTGGGATTCGAACCTGAGACCTTCCGATCTCAAAGTCATGACTCTAACCACTGAGCCAACCCACCCCCCTTTTATAGTGTTAAGAATTTAAACTTTGTCAATTATATTTATAACATAATATATAGTTCAAAGTGAAAACATTTAAGTACACAGTCAAATATAACGTGAATTACATAGATAGGTGGCGGCTGGTGCATAAATGCTGCAGAGCTGACAAAAAAAAAATGCAAGTAGGTATTTCGTAAAATAGATTTTATGTATAATCTCTTTAAATTAAATTAATTATATTAAATATAGTAAATCGTGTGTGTGCACTGCACCGTTTGGGCCGCCCACGCCTATCGTCTCCCAAAGGTGTTCTAGTAGTCTTGATAGGCATATGCCTGTCAAGAAGATTAATTAATAAGTTTGCGAACAGCGAAACTTTCTTGTCAACAGTATGTTGATCAAAAATAAAAATATGTGTATTGAAAAATTGTTAACATTATTATTAATTTAAGTTGCACGTAATTTGTCAATTATAAATAGAAATAGTAAAACAAACAATTTATTGAAATTTTAGTTTTTGTTTTGACTAGCTTTTTTCTATGATAGGCATAGAGAAAGTGTAGTGTTTAACTCCCAGGGAATGGTTATTTTATATTCCTACGATTTGCAGTATTCGCTTTTGGCTCATGCTGCAAACATCATACCCGTGGGAAGTGGGTATACCATTCGGTGCCTGTTAAACAATTACTACTTTTATTTCTGCTTAAATGAGAAACACACTAGATACAAACTATTATTAAATTTTTAGCCTTTATAAAACTTTTCACTTTTTTGTCACGGGCTCTCGGACTATTAGTTCTTCGGTTATACATCTTATCAAAGACAACCCAGCAACTTATGTATCATGTTTTAAAACAAATCATATCGAATTAAAGAGAAAATTAAAAATGTACAATTCAAAAAGAATGTTACAAGAATAAAATGAATCCAAAGTTCCTTACTCCAATTTACACAGTGAATAAAATTTGCTATGTGTTAAACCAGCGTGTTTTAATATCCGTTGATTTTGTAAAAAGATATTAAAAATATTCATCCTTAATCAACCCCTCCAAATATAAATATGATTCATCCTTGATCTTACAGAACGAGATCAACTATTTAATAATATAATTTTTTTTAGTCAAATTCTATTATATTATTTTTGTGGATATATAAAGATCTAATTTTGTCATTTACTGATTCAATAAATATAAACTTCTGGTCTTTAAAATCGGCTGGTGACGAACTGTTTGCAGAATTAAAAGCAGAATGTAAAAGGATAAAAATAATTTCCTATTTGACTATACTGTTAACAATGTGTTGTACTATGGCAGAATTTGCATTTATTGGTAAGAAGTAATAGAAAATGCACAAACATAATACCTACATTTTTTATGTAATTTATGCTGTGCATTTGCAAAACCATGTTTATATTATTTGATATTTGATAACAATTATTTTTTAGGTGACGAAATAAAGTGGCAATTTCCGTTAAAAATTATCCATGAACATTTTACCGGATGGAATCAAATTGTGTTTTTTTATATAAATGAATCGGCTGGTTTAATATGGGGTTACACAACAGCAATACCATTATTGTCTACATTATATCTTCTTAATCATATCAAGGTATAAATTCATAGATCAATCTAAAAATAGGCTTAAGATTTATTATCCAAAAATTGTGTCTATAATCACCTTGTAATTAGGCATTCCAAATTCCAAACAAACAGGTTGTCAGTGAATAACACTAAACTACATATAAAATTGGAAGTGCAAAGCCGATCAGTAGGTTGCCAGACGTTACATACGCTTTTGGCGCATTTGCCACGCTTTTTGACTTGCTTGTACGCGCAACGCCACACAGTACGAAAATGCCACACTTTTGACAAAAATGCCACTCTTATTATGTAAATGCCACGCAGAAGCCGCAAAAGAACCGTATTTATACAAAAATAGACAAATGTCCGGGTAAAAGACCCTCGTTTTTACGAAAAATAAGCTGAGGGCCTTTTTTAAGCTATTGCATAGCTTTTATCGCAGGCTTTGAGCGCGACGACCGAATCAAAAAATTCCGTAACGAAAATAAACTTAACACCCCCCACTCCGACCGGCACAGCGCCAGCGATGCGGCGTTGAAAGCCGTGGAAGGTTTTATTCGACCCTATTCGTATTAGTATGAAGCGGAGTTAAATACCTATACCTCTGCGGACTGGAACGTTTATGCAATACAAGAACTAGAAGAACTTTCTCTGGCTTCTAATAAATTGGTATCACAAATGTTCCCTGCTGGCGTAAATATTAGATATTAATTTTTTTGCAAGATTTATAAAATATTAATTTTTATTTTATCAGTGTTAACTATTTCATTATTAAGCTATTGCATAGTTAAGCTATTGCATAGATTTTATCGCGGGCTTTGAGCACGGCGACCGAATCAAGAAATTCCGTAACGAAAGTAAACCTAACACCCTCGAAAAATCGAAAAATTGAAAAATCGAAAAATCAAAAAATCAAAAAATCAAAAAATCAAAAAATCAAAAAATCAAAAAATCAAAAAATCAAAAAATCAAAAAATCAAAAAATCAAAAAATCAAAAAATCAAAAAATCAAAAAATCAAAAAATCAAAAAATCAAAAAATCAAAAAATCAAAAAATCAAAAAATCAAAAAATCAAAAAATCAAAAAATCAAAAAATCAAAAAATCAAAAAATCAAAAAATCAAAAAATCAAAAAATCAAAAAATCAAAAAATCAAAAAATCGAAAAATCGAAGAATCGAAAAATCAAAAAATCCAAAAATTCAAAAATCGCAAAATCGAAAAATTAAAAAATTAAAAAAAAAAGAAAAAATCGAAAAATCGAAAAATCGCAAAATCGCAAAATCAAAAAATCAAAAAAATCAAAAAATCAAAAAATCAAAAAATCAAAAAATCAAAAAATCAAAAAATCGAAAAATCGAAAAATCAAAAAATCAAAAAATCAAAAAATCAAAAAATCATAAAATCAAAAAATCAAAAAATCAAAAAATCAAAAAATCAAAAAATCAAAAAATCAAAAAATCAAAAAATCAAAAAATCAAAAAATCAAAAAATCAAAAAATCAAAAAATCAAAAAATCAAAAAATCAAAAAATCAAAAAATCAAAAAATCAAAAAATCAAAAAATCAAAAAATCAAAAAATCAAAAAATCAAAAAATCAAAAAATCAAAAAATCAAAAAATCAAAAAATCAAAAAATCGAAAAATCGTAAAATCGAAAAATCGTAAAATTGAAAAATCGAAAAAGAAATTCCTTAACGAAAATAAACCTAACACCACCCACTCCAACCGGCACAGCGCTGCGGCGTTGAAAACCGTGCAGCGTCTAACGTCGTTCTAGTTCGACATACTTAGGCACGGTGTTTGTGTGCGTGCGACTAGACGTATGCGTGTAGACTAGCTGCTAACTGCTCATAACTGATTCTATCTCTTTTAGACACAATTTCGGAAAAATTGAATTTGAAAATGAATAATGATCCACAAGAATTTACAACAAAATATGGGACCACCATTGACGCGGTATTTTCCAGATATTTAGAGGATCAAATTTATGTTTTTATTTCAGTTACCATAAACCTATAGTTTTAATGATAAAAATTCCTGAATAACCTACATGTATTGTAAGATAATAAAAATATTTTAAACAATATTAACTTCTCATTTATTTAATAAAAGAAAAAAATTGTTCTCTTATCGGTCACCACGCTCAAAAAGTGTAACTTGAATTAATATCAAAGAAAAAACTTGAATTAATATCAGAGAAAAAAAAATACTGCATAAATAAAATAAATAAATAATTATAATTGCATAAGTTGATAAAAAATGCTATGCAATAGCTTTACCGCGGCAGTCCCCGAGTGCCGCACGTATTTTTTTTTATTTTTTATTTTTTTTTTTAGAAATGTTTACAAATAATGGACCTAATTATATAAAAATGCTTGGTATTTGAACATGATGCTCTGTCGTCACGCTTTTCACTTTCGGAAATCTGGCAACCCTACCGATCAGCCACATAGTGGTGATATTTGACAAGTTGGCGCCCACATGTGCGTATCTAAATGCACTAAGAGGTCGTTGGAATATCTAATTATATAATCTTGCTCCCTTAACTCTATAGTGTAAAAAAGTCATTTGCACAAAAAACATTTTCAGTTTCAGTTCCGTCTATTAAATAAGTATCTTGATGTGCTGCAAAATCAAGATGGCGAATTGGAAGATAAAGATTACCAGGAATGGATAAGTAATCATATAAAACTATGTGTAAATGTTCATGTCAATATTATAAGGTATCTTAATGCTATTTGAATTTTATTTAAGTACGTTTAGATCAGTGTTTTGTTGGCATCATCTGTGTTACAAATTTTAGTGTATGCATAACTGATAGCTGACAGGACAGGATTTCTACATGAACCGTGATAGTATGACGTCATTTTTTTATATCAAGCAAATTAACCATGACAACGGCTATGTAAATGCTGTCATAGTTGTCAAAACTTAAATATGCGAAGGTTTACGAGAGGCCATATTGTAGCCTCACAAGTGCTTATTAATCAGAATCGGTTTAGCAAAAATGTATTTTACAAAACGTATTTTAAATAGCGCATATTAAAATTTCGCACCGTTCGTATTGTTTCAGGAGTAGCGCCATTATAATGAAGTACTTTCCATATTGTACAGTTGCACTACTGACGGTCGCATTAATATCGTTTGTGTCTCCGGCTTATTTTATTTTTGCGGTAAGAATGTAAAGAGTGATCCAAAAAAATGTTTCTAAAGTATGTCATGACTGACAAAGATAGAGATACGAGTTATATCCGTGATAAATACGCACACCTATGAATTCAAATTGACTTTTATAAAAGAAGAATTGTACGTGCCAACATTAGTCATTTTTTCATGGTGTACTTTTGAAAACGAATTTGTGGATAATCAAATATCGGCAAATGTGATAAAAACTAATATTTATTAATTTTTCAGAAAATCAGTCCAGTCAGCAATTTCAGAATGTATATCATACTAATAACCTGCATCGTTCAAGAAAGTGTTGCTTGTATTTATTGTCAGCATCTGACAGATGAGGTAGATTTTATAACCATATCTTCCCTTCTAGCTAAAAATATTGTATTTTCAGTCAGTAAAACTATTTGGTTACGCTCAAAATTGTCACTGGGTCAATTGGGAGAAGAGAAACAAAAACGCTTTGTTGATTTTACTAATTCACAGTATGGAACCATTGCAAACTTCCCAATATGGCGTACCAAGCGGTAATTACGAACTCATATTGAAAGTAAGATATTGTAACGTTTGTTTAATTTTTTTATAATTTATTTATTTAAAACACTTAATTTACAATTTATTTATAACGTACTAAATAATTTATATAATACTTAGGCACTATTATAATTCACAATTCTAATTTATTTTTTCTGTCCAAAACGTAAAATGAAACTTCCCGTCCGTCGACAAACTCGCGCTATTTATATAAAGCCAGCTCTGTATCAGAACTCTCTCGGCTTTCCAGAACGATCGAAAACTGACTCTCTATGATTCATATACCGCAAAGGGAATCTACCCGGTAGCTTCTCGAAGCGGTGCGTTTTATCAGTGCTAGACTTCATACCGCGGGCAAGGAGCAAACAAGGAACAGACATATTACTTATATTGAATACAAAAAAGCCATTTATGTAACCATTTATGAAATGTCTAATTTTGTGTAACGAGTGAATATTTGCGGGATGATCAGTTACATAATGTTCAAGTTTATGTACCTAAGTGGTTACATATAAAGTAGATCATTTTGTCACTTTTGCTGCGAATACTTACATTACGGTATACGTGACAGCTAAATTTATTCCTACAAGCGTTATATAGGTTACAAGCTTTAAATTAATATTATGTTATAAGTATTATGTTACAAGCTTTTATTACAAGTGTTATGTTACAAGCTTTATGTTACAAGTATTATGTAAGAAACGCTTTGTTACAAGCGTTACCCAGACAGCACACTAAATCCTTTGGATATCTACTGGACATCCCAATATCCACTGAATGTCCAGTCCACGGTGGATATCTATTTTATATACATGAGATGTAATTTATAGACATGCAAATGTCCATAAATAATAGTAATTACATAACAAATTATTAAAAAATTACGCTATTATGACTAATAGTACCGTTTGGATATTTAAAATGAAGTTTTTTAAGATGTATTCGATATCCCATAGATATCCACTAAATATATTAAAGTCTAGGCGCGAACGCAAACCATGGTGGATATCCACTAGATGTAATTTATGAATATATAATATGTACCTAAATTTCGGAAAATATGTGAATTGATTTAATAATTATTAAATTACTTAAATATTACGCCATGTGATAACAAACTAAGAAAGTATGTAGGTATGGTTTATAGAAATTTAAAATTAGTAAATTGTATTCAATATCCCATAGATATCCGCTAGATAAATAATATTGGGATTGAACGCGAGCGCAGGAGTGGATATTTTCTGCCCTCACAGGTGCCATCGGCCATTTTATAGTTTGTTTTCGTTTTGTTTGTGTCGTGTGCATGAGTTTCATTTGATAATTTTTTATTAAAAGCAGGTAAGTAAGCTTTAAAACCTAAATTTATTAGTGTAAAGGTTAATAGACTTTAGTTAAATAAGACAATGGTTAAATTCACGTTATTAATATTGTTAAGTAGGTTGTACGTTAAAATCCATGTCCTTTTTAGGTAATTCACAACTAGAAATTCATGTTGTTTTTACGACACCCTATTTTATTATAATTAAGATGGATGTTATTTTACCTACCTTCATATACCTACTTATTTCGTGTGATTATTATTGTTGGTGATTCGGTTTGGTTTTTATTGTTTAATGGTTGTTATAATTAATTAGAAAAAGATATTTTTTTACTGGTTAAGGTAATCTTATTACATCTGCCTTGTATTCAATAGCATGCATGAAGAATTTAACAAGTAAGGTTAGGTTATGTTTAGCTGGACCAATAGATTAGATAAATAAGTATATTATATACACAGATCCAGCCCTTTTAAATTATTAGTGTTATATATTGTATAAGTGACACTCTGCACAAAAGGCTTTTTTCAGACTTCATTTTCGTTTTGGGTATAGATTGATTTAAAATATAGTTTCACTTTTGAGGAATTCTACAACAGAGCGTCTTTTTTTTTCAGCAAGAAAATTCCAGTTGAAAATGCGGCGCTAATATATAATGTGTGTGTATGTGTGATTATAGGTTTAGGTTTTCCTTGGCTGCGGGTACTATTTTCATTCGTCAGCTTAAATGTAATATTGCATTTAATATAATAGTATGTTAATACTATAGTTTACTTTTTTTAAATATATTTGTCTTTGTTTTACCTAACTGTTCTTACTAAACGTACCCATTAGATATTTTGCTGGATATCCATAGAATATCTTCTATATCCTGGATATAGACGGATATTTGGATATCCATATTAGATCCACAGAATATCTATAATATCCTGTGGATATATTGGATATCCACAAAAGATATTCTGTGGATATCTCTGGGATTTCGTGTATTGCCTGGGAGATACCCATTAGATATTTTGCTGGATATCCACAGGATATCTTCTATATCCTGGATATAGACGGACATTTGGATATCTATATTAGATCCACAAAATATCTATGGTATCCTGTGGATAAATTGGATATCCACAAAAGATACTTATTCTGTGGATATCTCTGGGATTTGGTGTGTTGTCTGGGTAGTCATCTGTTTTTCACAGTATTGTTTTTTTACAATTATGTTTTTTGATCTATTCCTCAAAAAATATTAGCACACCACGCCAATCTTTTTACTCATGACGCTGTCAGTTGTCACATCTAATCGGAAAAACCATACATTGAAACTGATGGAATGGTGTTTCATTGATTGCACCAGCGTTAGATAAAAAGACAGCGCTATTAGTTCATCATTGATAGATTGATATAAAAAAGACAGGTAGATACCGCACCGATGCCAACGTTACTGCAACTAGTGCAACAGTTGGATAAAAAGACGCACGTAGTGTGAAGACGGTGATGCTAAACCACGCATTTGCACTACGTAAACCAATGAATCGGTTGATGTAATGGTCTGTTCTGACTTTCTGCCAAAGTTGGCGTCGTTATGTCGGGGCTTTAATTGCGCCTACATCTGGTTTGACTAAGTTTTTTTATATTTTGTTTCTAAGAACGCGTGTCAGCGCCGTTAAAAATATGCATATTTTTAACAATTAGTTCAGGTTTATGTAAATCTGTATACGTTGTACTAACTTTCACTAGTTCATATTAAGTCACAAATGTATGTGCAAACGATATTAGAGAAACATTTACATACCTTCATAAGTTTGTAATCAAATTAGAAAATCTAATAACCTCCTTAAATCTATGTTAACCTAAATACGTTGTCATACTTACTCACAAGAGCTTGAACAGGCCTTAAACTTACAATAATCTTCATAAGCTTATACGAACCTCCACGAGCACACATGAGCATTTTTAAATTTTCAAAAATGGGAAGAGTTTGAGCTTACGTACGAGCCTCTTCAAATCTATGTATCTGTAAAAGTTATTCAAACTTCCAAAAGTCCATATGAACCTTTATACCTTTCTTTTGTAATATACTTTATAAGCATTAAGAACAATGGTTTGTGTTAAATATTAAATTATATTTTTCAGATTTGGAGAACAGGTTATGCCACACTCACACTGTTCATGAATGCTTCTGGGAATATTATGAAAATATAGAAAATTATGTATTAATAATGGCACACCTTCACAATTTGAAATAATAAAGACTTTTATCCTTGAGCATCTTCTTGTGTGTCATTTGAATTAATACAAGTTAAACATACACCTTAATTCTATATTCTGTGTCCAACGGGGGTGCTCCGTCACATATTAAAGTGAATTTTAAAGGGGTAAATAATTAAAATTATTTGAATAAGGATAATTTCCTGACCGTAGCAGAATTTTATATAAATAAAAATTTCCTTGGTTAGATCGGTCAAATGTTTTTATTTTGTATTGTTTAGCACACTACATATGTTTCGGAAGATACAAATTTTCCATCTTCAGGTGCAGTCAATTTATAAAAATTATGGGAACGAATTCAAAGTTTAAAATTTTTTAAAATGATAGAACGCCATCTTTTTATTTCACAACGTGTGAAGGTGTATTCGAAAATTATATTTCGAATTTTTTTATGGGTGTAAAACGGGTTTGAATTTAGTGATAGCAGCGCTCTAAGCGCATACGGTTGAACTACCAACAAGGAAACAAGTCCCGCCATTTATTCAAACCTTCTCTTTTTATTTTTCTGTGGGGCAACCTATGCCCACACCTCCTCCAAGAAGCTCTGAGAGAGATGGAGGCCGAAACAATAATAATGCTTTGGAGAAGTACTAGAACACTATTCAAAGCACATTAAACAATTCCTATAAAAAATCCTGTCCTCTGAAGCTGGTCCAACACAATCAGACGACTACCGCATGGTGGTGTCACGAGTTTTTTTTTTTTTTTTTTTAACTAAGTTAGTGGCGCTGGATATAAACCAACAGGCCAGTCAATTGTCAGGTGAACAAATAAAAATATTATATAACAAACTTTATTATTTTACAAATTATATTAAAGTTGCTCTACCTTAATAACTAAAATAACCTGAACTTAATATGGTTTAAATATTTTGTTTATTTTTTTTTTTGTCTTTATTTTCTTTTTTTTTCTATTCTTGATCACCTCAGGAAGAAGGATTTTAAGGCAAGAACCACAAAACTCAAAGAGGACTGGGATACTTACAAATCTCTCCTCAGAGAATACAAAAAAATCGTCAGACAAAAACAGAGATACATGGGGTCCTACTGCGAAGAAATCAAAGATTTCCCGCAGGCAGCGAGGCTTCAAAAGGCTCTCTCAGAAGATCCACACCGAAGAATTGGTGCGCTAATCAAAGAAGATGGCACGAAAACTGCCAACCTCGAAGATAGCATCAAACTTCTACTGTCATTACACTTCCTTGACTCGGTCATCACAGACGTGGCCGACTGGGCAGAGGAAGAATACAACCCATTTGTCTATAATTGGCAAACTGCCAAACACATTGTAGATAGTGAAAAAATTAGATGGGCAATATCCAGCTTCTCTCCATTTAAATCGCCGAACCTGACGGTATTTATCCAGCCCTACTTCAGTGGTGTCTGGAATAACTTACACCGCACCTGGTGGGTATCTTCAGATCCTCGTTGGCCCCAAAAAATGGAGAGAGGTAAAAGGGGTATTCATATCCAAACCTGGAAGGATGGATTACACTGTCCCAAAACATACCGACCAATTAGTCTAACATCGTTTTCCATGAAGACATTTGAAAGGCTATGTGAAGCGTACATAAGGGATGCGGTGATTCCAACAACACCACTACACCCAACATGCATACGTCACAGGCAGATCTACTGATTCAGCCCTTCATCTAGTTGCTGGCCGGATAGAGAGATCGCTGGACAATAAGGAGTCCGGGTGTTTTCATAGACATAGAAGATGCTTTTGATAAAACCACCTTCCCAAAAATAATACACTCACTAACCAACAGGAACGTTCCACATGTTAGTGGGTGGATATATAACATGCTCTCAAAGTAAGCAGTAAACATAAGTGTAGAAAAAGTGAATATAAGAGGCTTGGTTGCGAGGGGATGTCCACAGGGAGGGGTACTATCACCTCTACTGTGGAACATGGTCCTCGACACCCTCATCAGCCGCCTCAATAATGACAGTCAGTACACAATAGCATATGCAGATGACCTTGTCATTCTGCAAATAAGGAATTTTGAGACCATTCACTGTCTATCAACCCTAAGAAGACAGAAATGGTTCTTTTCACAAAGAAAAGGATGAAAATGAAATTAAAACCTCCAGAACTAAACACAAAACTAAACTTTGCAACAGAGGTGAAATACCTAGGTCTCACCTTTGACAGCAAGTTAACATGGAACTCGCATTTATAAAACAGTCAAAAGAGCATGCATTGCCTATGAACAATGCCGCCGGACCGTGGGGCGCACCTGGGGTTTCTTCCCCAAAATCGTCGCATGGATTTACACGGCTATCATAAGACATATGCTAACATATGGTGCAGTTGTCCGAGTACCGAAAACCCAAAAATTAACAGCTATCCGTAAACTAGAAAAAATTCAAAGAACAGCATGTCTCAACATAACAGGAGCCATGAAAGCAACACCGACCAGAGCCTGGAAGTCATTCTTAGTCTCACTCCCCTTGATATTTACACCAAGGAAGTTACTCTGACGTCGCTTTTGGTAGTAGGCGCTCGATACGCTTCCACTACTTCAAGCGAACAGGGACTCCATTTCACCGAGATATATCTTCCATAAGCTATATAAAGTTATAACAGAACAAATAGAAGAGCCGGAAGTGGCAGGTACGAGTCATATCTACACTGATGGTTCTAAAACAAAACAAGGCTCAGGATGTGGAATATACTCCAGATTGTTAAACCTAAATATAAAATGGGCTGTGAGCAATAGTGCCAGTGTAGTTCAAACAGAGCTAACGGAGATTCTCATAGCAGCAAAATAAATCACTAGAAACAATAGCACTGGAAGGAACTTGCTCATCTATACAGATAGCAGACAAGCACTACTCTCACCCTGAACAGACCACGAATTTACTAAGGATTAGTACTAGAAAGTCACGAAGCTTTGGCCGAAATATCCATCAACAATGTGGTCACCTTAAGATGGATCAAAGGTCACTCCACATCGAAAGGTAACCGTATTGCTGATTCACTAGCCAAGAAAGCAGCTAACCAAATACTTTTTGGACCTGGCCCTCCTATTGGCCTGACAAACTCGGTAGTGACAGACCTAATTAAAGAAGATTCCCATGTGAAATTCAAGGAAAGATGGAATGAAGCAAGAAACTGCAGAGTTGCCAGAAAGCTCTTAAGTTATCCTGACAACACTGCAGCAAACAAATACTCGACTATGACTAGACAGAATCTGCGCCTAGTCACAAGCATCCTGACTGGTAATTGCCATGGGACTGTCAGAATCCGCACTCTGCAGAGGGTGCGAACAAGAAGATGAGACCATCGAACATATCCATTACGATTGCTCGACGCTCTCATTTATTAGAAGATTTGTGTTCGGCGCGTATCGACTAACACCGGCCGATATAAGAGAAGCACTTCATGGCGACGTTGTCAACTACATTAAATATGTAGACTGGCTTACGAGCTAGGAGGTGCCTATCATCTTAGGAGGATGCACAAAGGTCCGGGATGTCCATATATGACGTCCATGTGCAATGTGGGTATAACTATTCATTTCATTGCCCCTGCCACGATGAATTTGTCATTCATCGTGACCCTGTCAAATCATCAGGCCCACAGTGTTGCCATATTATAAACTATCATGTATCTGTCATTTCCTACGGGCAGCCATTTTATTTGGAATGCCTAATTTAAACAAACTAGAAGACATTTTATCAAAAATTGTTGTTTTTATGCCCGTTTGCTCCTAATTGTTCTATATATTTATCACCTATTATTGACTTATTGTTACTGATTAATTCAAAAACCATCAAGATCCATTTTTAGTCGATTTTGAGTTATCAATGCCATTTGTTGGTGTTTATGCAGTGGTATCATGTGAAAAGACGAGACATTAAAGAACCATCACGGTTTCATTGAAATTGCATGCAAAATATCGGGCATACAATACAATAAACATCAGTGTCCAAACTTAATTTTTGCTCTCCTGAAAAATTTGGTTTCATGGAACTCGATACTTTTTGCTGTAGATCTTTCATTTGCTTTATACGTTTATTTTTATACGTATACTGTATGTTTCCTGTTTCAGAAATAACATTTTTTATTACGTTAGGTTGATCATACTTATTATGTAAATCTAAAAACATACAATTTAAAATTTTAACCAATTCTTTCCATCTATTTCAGCTCGTAAAATTATTAGTACCTACAAAAAAAAGTCAAATAAAAAACAGTTTTATTTTTTAGAGTTTATTGTTTGAAACAATGATTATTTAATAGTTATGAATTGTTTAATTTTAGCATTGTTTATTATATGTAGATTTTATTATAGATACACATGGAAAAGAATGAAAACCAGTACACAGGGGCATTATTTTTCAAAATATTGTTGCATGTATCTAATATAAATTGATTAATAATTTGATAATAACAAATAACATGTAGGTGTAGATATAACATTCAAGTCGTAGCAGACATCGGTGCAATAAGTACTCAACTTCCATTTTTTTAAATACACGTTAATGTGATTCTTATTGGGCAACTTTGGCAACATAACCAACGAATTTTTCTTAATTTCAAAACACCACAGCATTCAAAAAGGTGAGAATTATTTAATAACACGGTCTATTAATTACTTTATACCTATAGTTACTCCTCATACATTAGAGGGCATTTCTAAAGTACTTAGTTATATGAATAAGTAACGTTTATGAGCTTAATAATAAAATAAGGCCCCTGAATATAATGCGAAAAATAGAAACGTTTAGAATGTGAGACCAGTTTCTGAGAACGTGGTGAAAATCTTGGTGACAGAGTTGATGTAAGCGGAACTTCTTAAATCCAAACCCAAATTGTATTGACTGGAAGTCTTCATAATAGCCTGAAAGAAAATGTGGAAACAATTTTAGGTAGGTACCTAATAAATAACGTTTTGTTAGAATATCACAAATCCCAGAAACAAAAAAAATAGTGATTTACATTTGCCTCCATAACTATAATTCAATGTGGCCCACTTAAAATGGAACCACCTTTATATTTAACGGCGTCAAGTCGCACTACTGAAATAGAAAAATCGATTATACTACTGCATGAAATACTCAAATGGGCTTCGATAACATATCTATTTGTAACAGAACAAAGTTTTGACATTTTTATATTTGGGTATATTTATGTTTTACGAAGATTTTAAGCAAATTCTGAAAACTGGCAACATCTACGAAAATTCAAATGCCATTTTATACTGGAAGAAATTAAAAAAATTAGTTGTTTTTTTTCTCACCTAATACGTTCAAGAATACATCCAATATTGTTTTTTTTAAATACTGCGACAAGGTGTCAACTTATTGCATTACTTGTTCAGGACAAATATTAAAAAAAAATTTTTATTGACAATGGACCTTTCCCGTTATTGATGTTCTCTATTACTCATGCGCAAATTATGCTTCTGTTTAAAATCATCAAAATTTATTGTTGTTATGTTTCCTACCCTGAGTTCCAATTATACATCCGCAAATGTCACTTTGAGTTTGATAGTAAAGGTCACAGTAAAGGTAGAGAAGCCAGTGACACTTTTAGGTGTGTTATTTGTGAAAGGTAAAATATTATTGCAACTATTTCGATGATTCTTGCTCTGTAGAACATGGAAATAGTTTGCTACGCAGCGATGGAGCCCTCGAAGATGACGTTTTAATAAAGCCTGTTTAAAAAATGCTGTCATAGAAGCGCAAACTTGAAACTTTCAAATATTATTTTTATCAAAAGTTAGTAGAAGTTTCTTGAAATTCTGCTCACAGTAGGTACCTTCTTGCAACAGTATTTTCATTTTCTACAGGGTAAGAATTAGCAATACATTTTTAATTTGGGCATCTGCAAACGTGTACTAAAAAAGTTTCACTGGCTCCCTACTATATGGAATCGATGACAGTTGTTTAAAGAAACGATGAAAACCCAACAGTTGTAAGGCGAGGATAAGAAAGAGATAACAAAAAGTGTTTGAAAAATTACTAGATTCAAAAGTCTCTCGCTTTTTTCGCGCATGAGTAATGCGAAATTGTTGAATAATGGAAAATGTCAATTTAAGGAAAATAGTTTGGTACATGCAAATTTACTTTGAATTTGACAGGTCTCACAAAAGTTTCTACCACCGGGACATAGTACATGTAGTTCACCCCCTCCCCTGTACCCAACTATAAATAGAAAGCAAAAAACATGACGTATGTCACTTTTGGCAGTCTTTGCTTTTTGCAAATTGAACCTTATAATATTATGTCATTAGTCACTTCAAATATTATTTTCGTATAAACCCTAAAAGTGATCATTTTAACACATTTTGAAATAACTTAAATATAATTGTCCCTTCTACCCTCCTATGTTTTCATATTGTTACACTAGTTCTCGGTAAACTAAATTTATTTCAAAACTCAAATTTTTATAATTAACGATAAAACTATTAACATCAACGTACAACGGCTATCATAAACTGAACTCTGACGTCAAAATCATCGCCTTATTTTCTCGAAAGTTCCAGATGCTTCCAGATACGGAATAGAAATATATTCCGCCCTCCAAATATTTCTAGACTATTCTCTCTTCTTTTATTTGTACTTATAACAACCGCAGCACACTGTATCACACGATATCAACTGTGTTAAAAATAGGACAGCTACGCGTATGACGTCACGCGTAGAGTTTGTTTAGGCGCGAATTTAAAAATACTGACGAAGTGTGAGGAAAATATATATTATTTATAGAAATTTCATGAATATTAAAGGGTAGTATTTTATGAATTAGTTGAAATATGTAAGGATATTATTATGGGAAAGAGCTATGAAGGAAAATAAATGCACATACATAAAAGAAATATTTATTATAAGTAACAGTTTTTTTCCTTTTTCTTTTTATTGATTTATTTTTGTTATACAAATTCGAATGCAGAGAACATTCGACTTTTAAGGAATAGTTTTTATATTCAAGATAATGAGAAAGGTATATTCACAACTCGGAACTTGTCAACTTAGGATCCTGGGTAAAAATTTCGCAACTGGGGACGCCGGAAATATTTAACTGATTAGGATTCGCAACAGTTGACTCATTTACCTGCATTATATTTCCCAATTGAATATACTTAACTACTTATTTTATGGAAAAGATAGGATTTATGTATAAGCCCGATATCAAAAATAGTTATATACATATAACGCAGAACATAAAAATAATGTACCAAATACAAATAACTGCTACATGGTGGGTGTACATATAAAAGTAAAATGAAATATCAATGTATTTTTCCTGGGCATAGTCACTCAGAGGTTTTTAATTCTTTAATCAAGTACAACATGTAAAAATTTTCTTTTTTTTTTAATGAACCGACGAGAAGTTCTGCTTTGTGGTCCCTCTTATAATTGGAAGGTTAAACGTGCTTGGAACATACATGACAATATTAATATTTTAATTTATCTGCACGTCCACAGGCCACTGAAAGGGTGGCTCCAGGTCAAATTTTAGGGGAGGGGTAGCACTGCCTATAACAATTCTCTTTTTGGCAATTTTTTAAAAAAAGGTTCATGGAATATAACAATTTTAATACAGGAGGGACGTGGTCCCCTAGGACCCACAGGGGAGTCGCCCTTGAGCCACTTCTGACTAACCTCTTACTGTCCAACAACGTCCTCTTTAAGTCGTTTGCTTTTATTTTTACTGCTAGATCCGTAAATTGCGAACCTCATTTTTTTAATGTGTTTCACTAATATCACTCACAAAGAACAAAGTTTACAACATAATATAGTACAAATATCAGCCTAAAATGTTATAAATTACTTTAAACAAACTGCAACGTGCATCTGTCATATGATATTTACTTCGCGCCAACTCTACTAACTCTACGCATGACGACAGCCCCGCTATGACACCATGCACCCCTCCCTGCAAATGTGATAAACATACTATAAAGTGACATTGTCATGTGACAGGTGTTTGTGGAGCTCGGTCCATTTGAGACATTGGAAGGCAATAAGTTTCAGTAGAAACTCATCGTCTCTGGAGCTTAGCTAATGCCAATACCAACGAAAAACAACTACTAGACCAATTTTGTTTACAAAAATAAAATTGCAAGCATTCACGGTGTTATTCACATAGTTGCAAAATTATTATGGGATAGTATTATTACAAGGATTGCTTATAGTTATAATTCGGAAATGCATACGGCTCTAAAACGTACAAAGGCTTTCAAAATTATTAGATTAAGGAAGTGCATTTGCATTCTTAATGCCAGTTATAATCTATTTAATATTTTTCTTTCTGTTTGCAACTATTATTGTAGCTGAAGCTGATTTACATGAAAGAACAATAGTTTTAACAGTGTGGTAATGATGAAGAACAGGAATCACAATTATACGATCTGATTCATTCATAAAACGCATGCTCAGACAAACAAGCTCGCACAAATCATCCCCACTCAATTTAGCAGTCGTATCGCTCTTTCTAATGCGATAGTCAAGTTATTTAACAAAAACACTTATTTCTGTTAAAACTACCCCAAATTTGATCTGAACATCCCATTTTCTAGCCTTACGAACAACGCAGCGGTGACTTTTAAAAAACCAGTTTGTAGAGAATTTAAAGAGGAATTTAAATATGCAAACCACTTCTTCCTAGTTTAAACGATAGTAAAGTTATTTAACAAAAACACTTATTTCTGTTAAAACTACCTCAAATTTGATCTGAAAATCCTATTTTCTAGCCTTACGAACAACTCAGCGGTGACTTTTAAAAAACCAGTTTGTAGAGAATTTAAAGAGGAATTTAAATATGCAAACCACTTCTTCCTAGTTTAAACGATAGTCAAGTTATTTAACAAAAACACTTATTTCTGTTAAAACTACCTCAAATTTGATCTGAAAATCCTATTTTCTAGCCTTACGAACAATTCAGCGGTGACTTTTAAAAAACCAGTTCGTAGGGAATTTAATGATGCAAACCACTTCTTCCTAGTTGAAACGATAATCAAGTTATTTAACAAAAACATTTATTTGAAAATCCTATTTTCTAGCCTTACGAACAACTCATTCTATGAAAGCCACTTATATAGGGTGGGTCACCGGTAACGCCTTGCTCTGTAAGGTAAAAACTATTTAATTTTTTTAAAGTCTGTTTTAACTGCGAGAAGTATATCAAAAAAGCCAACAATTTAAAAATAATTTTAATTATGCAGGGTTTTCCAAGAAAGTGAGACATATCAAAGTTGGTTTTTTTTTTTTAAATGGGACACCATGTATTTTATATTTGAATTGCCCTTGCTTTCCCATTATAATAATACCAAATAGTACGAGAATATACAGAATATTGCCAACGCCATAACCAGTTTTATATGAAAGTCGTATCAACTTCTATGACCTGTTAACTGCAAAAGAAACGATTGATGTACATATTTTTTTTAAGTTTTGGATATTAGTCAAAATTTTATGCCGATGCACTAGTTTTTCAATTCAAATCTCAAACACATCATTTTCTCAATTTTTTTTTTTTTTTTACTGACCGCCCTGTATTTTACATCGCCATTTAAAAGTACCTTATTTAAAGTTAAATTTGAGTTAAACATTCCCTATACCTACAGTCGATAACTTTGGGAGATTTTTAAATTTTAATGAGAAAAAAGATCATTCACAATAATTTTTTTTAGAGGGAATATCCTGAATATTGTTAAAATTATGCCTAAAAATATATATGATTAAAAATAATATGGTCTTAGGGGCATCCAATTTCTTGTTTCCAACTTATCAACGATCATCAGTAAAAAAATGTAAATGTACATGGTTCTCCATTTAGAAAATAATATAACTGTAAGTACCCTGTACATAAGAAAAAAATACGCAAGAAAAACTTTCACATGAAACTTTTCATTTATAATCTTTATTTTCAGGGATTAGGGCCAAACAAAACGGCTACCCTGTATAGTGTATAGTATCTGCTTGTACGAGAGTGCTACGGATATATACGAGGTGTGGCAATTAAATAACGAGAATTTTAAAACATTTATTTAATATTTACAATGATTTATGCACCCATGCCTTCACAGTACTCTCCTCCGAGTCTAACACACTTGGTCCAGCGTTCTTCCCATTTCTGGAAGTACCGCTGGAAGTCTCCAGAAGTTAGGTTCTTCAACACTGACGTTACGGCACGTTTAATGTCCTCCAAATCCTTATAGCGATGTCCTTTCATTGGTTCCTTTAACTTTGGAAATAGCCAGAAGTCCAGTGGAGCAAGATCAGTGCTGTGCGGGGGGTGGGGGAATGTTGTTATGTTCCTAATGGTCAAAATCTGTTGAACTTTTAATGATGTGTGAGCAGGAGCATTGTCATGGTGAAGGACCCAACCATTTTTGGCTAATTCCGGCCTCACACGAGACACTATTTGACACAATCGCTTAAGAACTTCAATGTAAAATCCCAGTATATATACCAATCAGTATTGGCACTCTGAGGCGGCACTTTTGATCTTTAAAAGTAGAAATTTTAGTTGACACTTGACGTTTTCGGGATATGAAAAGTTTTCTTTACACGGACTTGGTATACCTGGTTAGTTGAATTTTTGTTCTGCTGCTTTTCAAATTTGTGTGTATGAGCGAGATGTGAGATACCTTTATAGACAACGGTTGAACAACTTAATTACTTTGAAGAAGAAAATAGATTAGATATCAGGGCAGTCTTCGCAAATGTGAGAAGGCAGAACCGTTTTAAAATTTTTTTATTTATGTGAAATATTACTTTTTAGTAAAAAGTTTAATTACTTTTAGTTCAAAATATAACGTTAGCTTGTCAAGGAAAATATATAACACACAAGGTTAGAGTAACAAAATAGAGATTTTTCTTTATTTCTTAAGAATTAATCTAATCTAAAACTTTTCTATGTTGTAGAAATTTATTCTATACGTTATTTAGGTACTTACTGCAAAATCTATAGGAAAGTATGTAGTTTTAAATATAAAAATTTATAATGGAGACATATTTAGTGCAGTTTTTTTTACAAATATATGCTCAGTGACTTGTTTTAGTGAATGAGTTCAAGTATGGCAGACTAAAATCGTTACTTTTTATTATGAATTTATTTAAAAATGGGAACTATATGTACATGGTTTTCGTAGTTTTTACACTTGTAATAAAAATATCAAAGTTATGTTTATTGGCCATTTACTACACACAGCAAATTCATAGACACTATACATATCACTATTTGACATTCTTATTAAACTCATTAATTTAAAATTTACTTTAAACTGAGTGACTACACACAGAATTGTTTGAAAGCAGCCATAAGGTATAATTTATTTATTGGATACTACTTATAAAGAATTAATAGTAGTTACATGTAGAGTTAAGTAACAAGAACTTTAAAAACAAAACAAACCTTTATATCTAGTGAACTTAATTTAGTACAGTCCTCAACTTTCTTAGGCTAACATTAAAGATATCTATTTGGACCTCGCTAAAAAACTCATTGGTAACAGCCATTATCTTGTTAAAAGGAAATATATACTACTTGGATCTAAACTAAATAATTTTTTGTTACTTGGGATTCTTAGATTAATCTTTGCCACATTAAAATTTATATAGTCAATCAAATCACAATCTTTGTACTTAACATTATTTAAAATAGAGTACAAAATATATCACAGCCTGTTGCTTTCTTCTTTGTAAAAGAGATTTAATCTTAAAACTACCGAGCATAGTTTTATATGAGATCTTATAAAGGTACAAGTATTTTTTATGGCATAAAAAGGTAGGGTAAAAATATTTTTTGTTTTTTTATGGCATAAAAAGGTAGGGTAAAAATATTTTTTTGTACTTTTTCAATATGATCAATATGTGTGGCTTTCAAGGGCATCCATATTTGTGATGGGGTCTTAGTAAGGCATTATATAATCTGATTTTGGTGGTAATTCTAATTTTTTTTTGTATTTCTGATTTAAAAACCCAAAGCTTTTATTGTTTTTTTTAGTTATGTGTAAGAAATGGTTATTAAACTTCAAATTAGACTGAAAGACAACTCCTAAATCCTTTACCTCATATTCAGGATTTAATGTGACATCATAGGTCTTGTGTCTAATGTAAAAAATTAAGAGGCTACAGATCCTTACAACTTAAAATATGCATGTTTGTAAGTGTTAAATGGACGGATAAAAAGTGTTGTTTTTATTTACAACTATAATAAGAAACATATTATTTTTGATACCTGATAATCAATAAACAATATATTTTTTGAAGTAGTAACAAATTTATTAATACCCAACTATTATTTTGTTACAAATATTTATATTATAATATTTATAATTAACATAATAGTTGATATAAGTCCTTTAAAAATAATATATTTTGATTTAATTGTTGAATTTATACATGAGCAATTTTCCTTGTAGCATTGTTTACATTTTGCAGAGAACTATTGTATTCTGCTTTTAGCTGATAAATCATGTACATGTAAACGGGTTGAATGTAGACAATGTTAATGTTTTTGCTACTACTGCTGGCTAGGAATGCTGGGCTGGGACACCAACACAAAAAAAAACGAAGCACAAAGCACTAGATCAGTTTCTATCACTTATACACTTACAATTTACAACCATTCAAGGAACTAGTATGTTGGAAATACTTTACGAAAACATATTAAACATAAATCGGTTAAATGCAATGTATTTTCTTCTTATAAGACATCTTTTTAGCTTGATTACTTCTAGTACTCTATTTATTCCAATGTCCTCAAATAAAACGAGCAATAATACGTAACAATAAGGATAAAACACACACTAAAGTGTATTTGGGGTATTTTTGATCTAAATTCACTATCAAAACAACAAATTTTCCGTTTTTAAGCTGTGAATGTATTACAAAAACTACTTCGATAAAATGTAAACAAAAGTTTGTATTTGTGTACGAAATATGGATTGCCTGCGCATGGTAGCGAGTTTTTAACCGGATTTATGACAAGTGATAGGTTATATCCCGAAAACGTCAGCGCAGTAAAAGCTGCGTGTCTTTTTCCCGCCCAGGGAGTGTCATGGGCCTGGTAAAATACCGAAGTCGATCTGTCCGCAGCAACATTCTCAAACGTTCGACATTTTGCCTAGTGTGCACGATTTTAGGGGCACCTGACCTTGCATCGTCTTGCGTTGATTCTCGGCCTGATGCAAAACGTTTGGCTCATTCGTACACACGTAATTTTGATAAACAGTCATTACCGAACACACGTTGCAATTTACGAAAAATTTCGGCCAGTTTTTCGCCAGATTTCACTAGAAACTTGATGACAATTCGTTGCGTGTTTTTCACGTCACACATTTTTGTACGTCACAACAGTACACTACTAACTTTAAAAATTCGCAGAGCTTAAAATATTACACCGATCACGATCAAACTTGGCATAGTTGTGTATAATCTCGTGACTTTTACGTCAACAAATTTTCAAGATGTCAGTGTTACCACTATAGGAGCTAGAAATAAATTCTCGTTATTTAATTGCCACACCTCGTACATGAGAGAGGGCAAATGGAAATGTGGAGCAAAGACAACTGGGTGTAATGAAAGAAACCTATTAATATGTAACGTCTAAAAAAAAATCCAGGCAATTTTGTGGGTTGAAAGTACGTGCCGGAGACAGTAAAGTTGTTAATTCAAACTATTGAAGAAAAATTACTTATAACACTGCAGAAAACGATCATATAATAATTGTACTATTATTAGCTATTTATTAAGTATGTGGCCAACCTTTAAGGTGTTATTCCTTGCTAAATTTTATGGCAAAAAGTTCATATAAACATAAGTACTAAACGACTTTTTTTTTTAAATTAAACTTCGTGCGTTAACCCTGCTGACACCACTGGTAAAACCATAAATTTTAAATTAAATAGCGATAATTGGATACGTTTTAAAAATGTTTTTGATCCAAGCTTTCAAGCAGTATATAAAAATAAAAAACTACAATTTACTCTTATTTCCATAAAAACTAGAAGTAATCTATTAAGTCACAAAATAATTAAATCTGTTATAAGAAAGTTTTTGTTTGGAGTTTTTTAAACAGAAAAGAACCAATTTGATATCTGAAATAATGACTAAGATGGATTTTTTAAATTTACACTAGCGACCGCCAGAATGGTCTGGCACTTCGAATTATGTGGATAAAATAATTCAAAGAATATTTCCTGAAAGTTTAACAACCTTGTAAAAACACGTTAATTTTAACAATTTTTTTGACATTTTCGAAAATTTAACTGGTATTAATTATATCTACAAATTTTCTGCCTTGTGCTCAACACGTTAGTCAAATATGCCTGGCATCACAGCTGGCTGCACTATTTCAAAATGTATTCCCTTGTCAAAAACAATAAAAAAAAATATATTTGTTATGAACAATTTTTCAGTAAATTTTTATATTTTGGGCAATAAGTTGACAACGTCGCAGTATTTAAAAAAAAGGTTGCTCTTTTCTGAGAGGTTCAAAATTGCGTTATAGTAGTAGAGGAGACCGTGGGAGGTCGACCTTCACCCATCTGATAACCAGATGAGGCATATTTTTTATGAAATTTTATTGATTTCACTTCTATGGGAACTTGCCATTCGAAAAGTGTTCATGGCTATTTTTAATTAAATAAATTTTGATCAATTTTGTTTTATAACCTTCACTTTTCTGATAACCGAACAAATTTAATTTTAACATGGAGAATATGCCTCGGTGGGCTTATCTACTTAATTCTGTTCATGGCTACCTGGCAAGCAGGTATGAACAGGTTAGTCAATACACCAATGTGTCAATCAATAAATATTGATATCAGAAGAGAGATCATTTATTTACGAAAATAATCGTATAGGCTTGCATGCAAAAAACTGTTCATGGAATACTCTTGCCATGCTTTAAAGTTTAAAAATCGGAGCAATTAAATATGTGCCAGAGAGATAGTAAAACGTGCGAAGTCCGTTGACAGGTGACAGAACACAACATAGCAGCTGCGCGTGACATACTTAAAGGTATATCTATCTATCTGAATTAGGGCGTGGTTCAAAGCCAACTTGTACTGAAGTTCTAGGCTTATTGTACCCCTCACAGTTTCTATCCCATCAGATTGATTTTCTTGATGAATTCAAGAATATATCTAAAGGGCGCTTTCGGGATTTCTTCAGGTTCCGGATATTGTACCCCGAAGTACCATTCCCGTTCCCATTTAAGGTTCCGGCAGTGGATAGTATGTGAATAGGAGTTTCGTCCTCCTCTTCACATATTCTACATAGGGAGTCATCAGATATCCCTAAGAGATTTAGGTGTCTTCTAAGGCCGCAGTGTCCCGTAAGGAGTCCTATTACGGCCTTGAGTTCGCTTCTGCTAAGGTTTAGCAGTTGATGTTGTCTGCTCGTAGATGGCCCCTCTATGAATCTTTTGGACTGTCTAAGTCCAGGAAGTTCCATCCAGAGCCTATGGTGTTCTCTTTTTATTTGTTCCTTTAACACCCATTTAACATGTTGGTATGAGATACCACATGTGGGTTCTGGTCCAATAGGGCTTTTCATCACAATATTTTTTTGTGCGCATGCGTCAGTATCAGCCATCTTTTTCGTACTGTTTTTTTTTGTAAACAAGCATGTTAAAATATCCACGTGAAAAAATTATAACCGATAAATATTCATTTTAAGTGTATTCGTTTAAAAAATGGGACAAAAAAAGTAAAGTAATAAGTGTCTTAATTGAAAAATCAATTTTTGTAATCAATTAATTATGTTATATTTACGGAAACGAAAAACTAAACAGTATTGTTATGAGTATGTAAAAGTGACACACGGTATAAATTATTATTTTTTAGAAAGACAATATCGTAAAAAAACTATCAGGCAAACTATTAGGCAAAATACATATTAGAGTGAAAAAATGTGGTCAAATTGACAAAGGTTTTCGATCGATTGATGGATGATGTTACTAAAGATACTTATATTTGTATTTGTTCACTAAATTTTCATGGAGAAAGTGGTAACAGAAGAAAATCCTTGTCTGATATTACACAATATTTTTTAATTTAATACTACTTCGGTATATACAGTAATATTATTAAAAATGTTATGTTGATCCTTAAAATTTTAAATAATTTATCTTATTAATTATACTCGTGATTTCATGTTAAAGTGTTTTTGCAATTATTAATAGTTGGTTGGCATAATTAATAAGAATAGAGTTATAATTATTGTTTGTTTTCATTAATTTTTTACACAGTTAATATGTATTGAAACCTAACCTCTCAATCACCACACTTTTTTCCTTATTCTGAACCTCCACGTCACTTCAAGGCCCGTTTTAATTGCTCACAACTATGTGCTTCCACAGAGTTATAAAAATGTAAATCACCATCAACGATTTTTTCTAATGATTGATTTGTTTGTAGAGATAATATTGCTTTTCCAGCCATTGTTGATCAAAACAGTACGAAACTTTTGAATTGGCGCTATTTCAACATGGCGGCTGCGCTTGCGCTCATCACATGATGAAAAGGCCTATTAGTTTTTTCCGCTTCCTTCCTTGCTAGGAGGTCTGCTTTCTCGTTTCCAAACATTCCCTCATGTCCTGGCACCCATTCAAGGGTGACCTTGTTATGTTCTGCCAGAGCCTGGAGGGACTGTTGGCAATCAAATATTGATTTAGATTGTACTTCTACCCTTTTTATAGCTATAAGGGCTGCCTGGCTGTCTGTCATGATAACGATCCTCTTATCTCTAAGAGAGTCATTTAGCATGACTTTGGCGCAGGCATTTATTGCTGTTACTTCAGCCTGGAAGACTGTTGTCAGTGACCCCAGGTTCAAACTAATTGTCCTCCCTGAGTTCACATGGTAGATCCCAGCTCCTGTGCTGTTTTTCATTTTCGAACCGTCTGTATACCAGATTGATTCGTTTTGTTTTTCCCTATTTTTCCGGCTTTTGACCCTTTCTGGTATTTGAATATCAAAAGGTTTCCTGAAGTCGTGAATAATGGGCGTTCTATCCGATGGCATTCTTAGTACCGGATTTTGTTTTAATTTCTCTAATATCATTGTGTGGTGTCCTTTTCTCGAAAGTTCCCATCCAAATCCATTAGTAAACAACCTGTATGCCGCCGCCATAGCCTCTTTCTCCACCACAAGGTGTAGTGGAGGAAGACCTAGCAGTAGCTCCATTGCTGCTGTGGGCGTAGTTCTAAATGCCCCTGTTATTATTAGACAGGCTAGTCTTTGTACCTTGTCTAATTTTCTGTTAGATGTTATACTTTTAGTCTTGTGCCACCATATGACTGATGAGTAACCATAGTGTAAGCTAGTGCATCATACTTGGTTTAATCCCCCATGCGTTCCCTACCATCCGTCTACAGGCCCATAGTATTCTTACAGCTTTTTCTGTTGTTTTTCTATATGGCTGCAGAAGCTAAGCTTGTCATCAAGAGTGATTCCAAGATATTTAACCTCTTTTGCCATTTTTAGATGTTGTCCTCACATATAAAGCTCTTTCATTCCTTGAAGGTTCCTTTTTCTTGTGAATGCAACAACACAGGTTTGTGGACAATCCCTCTTTTAGGCACCATCAACCACCATCGACGATATTTAGTGCCCGCTGCGTCCTTTCGGATACAACAGTCCCAAATTTACCGTTTACTACGATGCTTGTATCGTCTGCAAATGCTTGCGTGTATAAGTTTTCTCTAACTCCCATAAGAGGTCATCAACCACCAAGGTCCACATAAGAGGAGATAACACTCCTCCCTGCGGGCATCCCTTGTTAACTGAGACCTCTCTTGTTGTGTTAAGGAGATTACTGGTAATGGTTCTATGATTAAGCATGAACTCTACCCACCTCGTAATGCAGTGGGCTACTCCACGCCTTTGCATAGATCCCAGTATTGAATTGTATGAAGCCGAGTCAAAGGCTCCTTCTATATCTAGGAAGACTCCTTGTGCTATTTCTTTGCTTTCCATAGCTTGTTCAGCCTTTTGAGTTAGCCTATGTATGGCTGCATCGCAAGACTTTCCAGATTGGTAGGCAAACTGGTATTGATGTATCGGTTTATCCCGTAGAACATCGTCCCGTATATATCTGTCGCTCAATTTCTCCAATGTT